CAAGTAGCAGGAGGCCCTGTCAAATCAAGCCATAACATTACACTCCTCTGCCTTTATTATTATTTTTTCCCTTTTTACGTTTCATTTTAATGGACATTTGCCTAGCAGGGGATGTGGCAACCCAAGAAGAGTCACGCGTGTGTGCTCAGCCACTCCAGTCGAATATTGATGCAAGTCAGCATCAAACACTCTTCTCATGACAGATGGATCTGTGTAAGCATCTATATATAGCCTCTTTTAACATATACAATATAAACATACATTTCTATTTTCCACAAACACTGACTGAATATTGCACATGTGGCTGGCATTGGGCTAGAGACTGGGAACTTACAGAGACACCATTTATTGCAAACCTACTGTGTGCCTGTGTGTGCTTTGCACATATTACCTCATTTAATTCTCATAGTGACCCTATGGAACACATTTTATTAGTCTCCCCATTTTACAGATAAGGAACTAGAGACTCAGTTGGGAAAAGAAATTTGCCTCCAAGGGTCTCACAGTTAGGAAGTGACCTAGTTAGTTCCACTATAATAAAACTTGATCATTTTCCTGGAGAGTTAAAAAATACTCAGTAGGCATGTTAAAAAAAAAAAAAAGCATTCACCCTCACTAGTAATGCAAATAAAATCATGAGACAGTTTCACTCGATGAAGCTTTCCAAATGCCTAGGGCTGGAAGGGTGTGTGGAGAGGAGCTCTCGTTCTCTGGAGTACACAGGAGGGCTCATCATGCTGTACTGAGACTATGCTCCTACAGGAGTCTCCCCAACAGATGGTGAGCTACTTGAAGGCCAGCCCGTGGCTCATCCCTGGACTGACAGTCTCTAGTCCTGTGCCAGTAGTTCACATAATGCTGAACGTTATGAATGACATCCTAACAAAATACCATGGTGACAGTTAACTTTAAGAAGTACATACGTATAAAAAAAGGAATAACTGACTCCCTGAGAGGGTCTGAATGAGTCAAATACTTAAGAATGAGTAGGAATTTATCAGAGAAACAAAGAGGGGAGGGCATTCTAGACAACACACCAGAGGTTCAGAGGTATGGCGAATGAAGGAACATGGTATAGCATAGCCTGCAGTGAGGGAAGCAATGTGGCAGAAGGTGAAGCAAGAGAAGCACGCAAGAATCTTGCATACTCGACTGCAGCATCTGGGCTGTATCCTAGAGAAGATGGAGAATAAGCAGCGTGACCACATTTGCGTTCCTGAAAAATCATCCTGGAAGAGGTGCGGGGATGCATACTGGAGAATAAGCAGGATCAGATCCAGATATTACAGACACATAAGGAACAAACACAATATACTGCATTCAGTTACACTTAATTCTTCCTAAGCAAAAACTGAAATAGTTAATAATCTTTCTGAGAGAATCTCTATTTTCTTCCTCTTTCCTCTGGGGAAGAAGGAAACTGTGATACAAAGAACATTAGAACAGTCAGGAGACACAGATTCTAGTCTACACTTTGAGAAGTCCTCTCTGTGACTTTGCCTAGGTCTCTTCTCCACCTGCTCTCTGGGTCTGAACATCTCTGTCTATAAAATGAGAGAGGTGACCTAGATGATTTATGAGTTTCTTCCTCAAGTCAATGATAAGATTCTAGTTATCAAATAAAGATGTGAAAACCGACTGAATGACCTAGCAATTTCACTCCTAGGTATTTATCCAAGAGATCACAAAAACATAATACCAAGAAAAGACTTCTACAAGAATGCTTATAGTAGCTCTAGTCATACTGGCCAGATTCTGAAACAGCCTGCCAACAGGAAGAATGGGAAAATACATCTAAACAAAAATGGAATACTATCCAGAAATAAAAAGGAACAAACTACCAATGCATGCAACAACCATGAATGAATCTCAAAACCAGTATGCTGGGTGAAAGCCTAACCCCAAAAGTATGCACTGTATGAGGCCACAGAAACGAAGTTCTAGATGAGGCTAATCTAATCTACACCACAAACTCAAAAGAACTGTTAACTTTGTGAGGTGCAGGGAGGAATCTCACTAGGAAGGGGTAGTAGTGGCAATGTTCTGTATCGTGATAGAGTATGTATTTGTCAAAGTTCATCAAATGGTGCACTCAAGATCTACACATTTTACTCTACAATTTTATTAAAAAATACATTTATGTGGAATTCTAAGCTAATTATATGCATAATGAAATGTTTAAAGGAGAAGTGTACTGCTGTCTGCAACTTATGTCCTGCATCAAAAAATAAAAAGAATGGATGGATGAGAGAGATGGATAAATATGTGATGATATAAGTACAGCAAAACGTTAATTGTAGAATGTAAGGTGTGGTAGGTATCTGAGCATTCACTGTACAGTTCATTCAACTTTTCTGTATGTTTGAACATTTTATTAGAAAAATGCTGAGAAGGAGGCAAGAAAAAATTGAGAGGTGTGAACTTGGAATGGAAATGATGAGATTCCCAAAGGTTATTTTTCCAAAAAGCAGTTTATGTATGCCTGATGTTTGAAACCTCAAATGACTTTTCCAGTGAAATAGGCCCACTGCAACTCATTCAACATAAAATATAGCCAAAATTAACTCAGTATTTGCATTGTTTAATTGTGAGCACACTGAATAAGCACCTACTAGGTGCAAAGCAATATGACTGGTGCTGCCTTTGGTTAACTCATTTATTTTCACTGTTCCTGGGACTACTCTCTCTCCTTTCAGAATGTTCCGGGAGCATTACAGACTTAAAACATGCTTAAGTGCTATCTTAACTAATTTATAGCCCTGTGTCTGTGAGAAAATATGCCTTACAGTCAGAAGTGGTTATGTATGCTCAGAAAATGCTTCTTTGAGCTTTTCTATATTACTTTTCTCCAAGAGCTCAGAAGGAAAAGACCAGAAAGATGTGGCATCTAACATCTAATGAGTTACTCTTTCTGTTCACCTATCTCAGGGCTTCGGGCTGAGAACATGAAGCTTCCTAGGGTCAAGTGTTCATGTATCAGGGAAGGCGCTTATCTCAGATGGTTTGAGGGAGAGGTCCAGGAAGCTTTAGGTGCCAGCCATGTGTGTACACAACCATTTCCTGTGGAAAGTGCTTTTTTTCTTTCTTTCTTCTTCTTTTTTAAAATTTATTTTATCCTAAAGGTGCGAGGTACAATTCAGGATTAAGTATAAAAGTGGAAGTGTTTTCCATGGCTTCTACAGTGTGCTTTGGCAGTGAAACCAACCCCATCAGTCCAGCATGTGGAATGAGGAATGATACTGGTTCTGGGGAGCACTATGAAGGATGAGCTGGGTACTAGTGACGGGAGGAACTCAGAGAAGGCTTGGCTCAACTCTGCCCAAGAGAGAGATATTGTATATACCAAGGGACAGCAATCAGACTGGCTGAGATGGTCAGTTGCCTACCCAATACCCATTCCCCTTTTATTGCTTAGTAGCAGAAGCCATTTTATTTGGAGATGTGACTAGTTTCAAAAACAATAACAACAACAATACAACAATAAGCTTCCCTTAAGTATAGCTAGGTATGACCAGGTGATTAACTTCAGGTCAAAGATTTAGGTTGAACCGGCATTTGGGACTTCCCAAAGGGGACCCATCCCCTTCTGCCCTTGTTTCTCCCCTTTCTGCTTTCCTGCTGCTGGAATATAGACATAATAATTGAAGCTCTAGTAGCCATCTGGGACAATGAAGCAATCTTGAAAATAGAAGCCAGGCACTTTTATAGGTGCTTGGGGCACATTAAAAAGCAAACAAACATTCTTGGCCCTGTGCTAAGAATGGCAGAATAGAATGACAGAAGCTTCTGATAACACTGTGAAGCTGTCACTCCAGTCCTGTTGTTGACCTTTGGACAGATTTTACCTGAGATAGAAATAAGCTCTTATGTGCTCTCCTTTGTTTAAATCATTGTTATTTCTAGTCCCTGTTACTAGCAATCAACTGTAATTCCTAACTGATACACACAAATTCGGTAAGTTCTTTTCTGGGAAGTTCAAAGTAGAGCCGAAGGAAGACTGAGAGTCTTGAGAGTTCAGGTGTTTACTCCAAGCAAAGCTGAGTTTGTTCACTAGTTCTGGAAGCAGACACACATTCCAGTGGGGAAAGTGCTAGAATCAAAAGTACCTGCTGGTGAAAAGACATACTCCCTTTGATTCACCTCACTGTCTCGCTGTCTCCTTGGAACATTTCCCATTACGATACACAGACTCTGAAGAACCTGGCTGGAAGGACAGATGCAGCTTTTTCTTATTAACCCACATCCTTATAACGGCAGAAATGAATGCCTGGAGTTTTGGTACCTTTATTTCATCTTTGTATTCCCACAAACACCTTAGCAACACCTACACCCAGCAGTATGTTGAAGAACCCATATGAGACAAGTTTCTGACTCACCTGACTGAGCACTTTCATGAAGACAGCTATCCGTCAGGTTGACTGGCTCAGCTTAGACTCCTACAGCGTATCACTTTTAGGAGTAGTTCACCTAAATTAATTAAAACCGACTCTGTCCCTAGAAGCTCTTTCAGGACTTGACAAGTATATTATGCAATAACCACTTCTCCCCCCACCCTTACCCAACAAAACACATAAAAATGAGACAATCAGCAGGAATATTTGTACTATGACCACTTTTCTTTCGTACAGAGTCCCTTTCAATGGGAAGCTCACTGAATTCTCAAACAGCCCTGGAAGGCTGGGACAGCAGAGCCTTGTCAGGGCACGATGGACTGGGGCCTGGATTCACACTCCAGCATTCTCCCCTCGGCCCAATTTTCCACTTTCCTAGCATCTCCCTGCTCTGGTGTAGGGGAGCAGAACATCAGAGTCCCAAAGCAAAAAAGGTGCTTCCATACTCCTCTGAAAGTCTTCCTTGGATGTCTGCTTTAGATGGGAATTCAGCTTGCGGGGGAGGGGAGCCTGGTTCCAGGGCCACAGGGGGAATCGTCTAAACCTACTTCTTCACCACTTTCATCTTACTCAACAGTTCTGCCTTTGTACTCTTCAAACAGCCACTACCTCCTCCTCCTATTCTTCCCACTTTCAGCAGCAAAGTCCTCCTTGAAGCTGCTGCAGCCTGACCGACTGCTGAGCACCACATACACTTCCTCCAGGCTCCAGGGCTGATTTCCACAGAAACCAGAAAAGCTTGCTGCAGACCTAGGGCGGCCTGATGTTCATTTTCTTGAAGTCTGACTTCTTGACCCTTCCTCCTTCAGCCAGTCAGGCAGCAGAGTGAAAGGACAGAAGGACTTTCAGTGCTGCACTGGCACTGTTCTTTCATTTCTAGCCTAAGACTAACAAACTAAACCATTCTATCATCTTTCAAATATAAAAACTACTGGGAAAACATGCACTCATCTCTGTTGTGAAATACTTTGGGATCACATTCTACAGAGCTCAGACTCATCACAGGGAGGACAGAAAAGAACCTGTGAACCCTAAAAAGCATACTGCACTTGTGAAGCATGGCTCTATGCCTACTTCACTAACAGCACATAATCAACAAGATATACTGACAAATGTATTAAGTACTTTGCTGTCATCATCACAAGTTACTCTTTCTATACACCCAGTGCAACCGTTTTACAGATGTACAGATAAAGACCTAAGATTCACCTGCCTTTCCCAATTGGTCTTTCTTAAGAGGAAAAAAAACATCTGTTAGTATAATGTGCCAGGTTACCACACTAGGTGCTTCATATACTCTTTCTCACTTAATATTCACGACCACCCTTGGAGTAAATTATTCTCCCCATTTTACATATGAGAAAAAAAATAAGGCCCAGAGAGGGTTGTTCTTTCCCCCAAGTATTCAGAGCTAATACAAGCCAGAGATTCATCCATCTGACTGCAAAGGTCAGCTTTCTCTCCACCTCCACAAATCTGCCTTTTTAGTGGTGAATTGAGTTTACTAGCACCCAACATTCTAGGGCGCTGCTTAGAAGAATGAATTGTGAGAAACAGAGAGTCCATTTTGAATAAAGCTATAAACTGAAACTCCAGTGTCCCTTTGCTTTGTATACAAAACAGATGGTTTCTGGTAAAAACTAACTTCAAAGTAATTTCTGTGAAACAAATTCTACTTGTCTACCACGATGGAATCCAAGAGGCATTCTCAAGGAAAGAGCTCCCCAGCCTGCTTCATCATAAATATTTGGTAAAGGGGAATGATGAGCATCCTTGGCAGATGCTGTGCACGGCTGCAAATCATAAGCAGTGCATCCTTGCTGATAGTGATTTTCCATAATTCCCTTTAGCCTCGCCGTGAAATCTTCCCTGTCCAGGGAAGACACCCCCAACAGAATCACAGGAATTCTTCCTGCGCCTAGGAAGCCTCTCCGGTAGCTCCTAGAATCTATGTGTGGTAATGAGAGACACACACAGGCAAAGGGAGCAGAAAACACTGAATTAATACTCTAGCATGATACTAAGAGTCCAGTAACAATCAGGAAGGCATTCTGGGACTCGGTTTTCCCAACTGTCTATTGAATAGTCCTCCCAGATATGAACAGCTATACACTTCTTCCCTTTCTCTCTGTCAATTGTTCTCAATGGGGGTGTGATAGGGAGGATTCCACTGTCTGAAATATTTTCCAATTCTTATATGTGTGTCTGTGACGACTAGAGGTTGCTATTGGTATCTAGTGGATAGAGGTCAGGGATGCTACTAGAAACAGTCTTCAATGCACAGGGTAGCCCCCTCAACAAAAAATTATCTGGTTCAAAGAATCAACAGTGCCAAGGGTGAGAAATCCTGATCTAAGTTATTTCTGATATCTAATGGTATAAGAATGAACTATCAACAGATCCCATTGTTAACGTATATATTCCAGGTAGAAAATGCCTCAATCCAAGCCTTTCATTCTTGTCAGTTAATGATTTTATAAATTAAAAATTCCACAGGAGGTAAAATTACATGATATCTATTTAGGGTTGTCTTAAAATATTCCAGGAGAAAAAGGGGGAAGGGGATTTAACAGGACTGGTAAAATGTTAATCACTGAAGCTGGGTGATGGGTACATGAGGGCTCAATATAGAATTTTCTCTACCTTTGTATATTTCTGAAATCATCTATAATAAAAAGCATTTTTAAACTTTTTTACAGAAAAAATTGAGTTTTCTTAAAGAGATGTAAAGGATAAAAGGGATCCTATCCACCCACACACCTAAGACACAGTCCTTGCTTGGCAAAGCTCATAGTTGAGCAGAAATGAGCAAGTCAACAACCAAAGTATACCAAGGACACTACTCTATTAGGGGCAGAATAAAGTTGCCGTCTAAGAACAGAAGAGAAAATTAGGAAAGGCTTCAAGGAGAAAGCAGAATGGGGGAAATGTTAGATAATAAACACTCAGTCTCACAGAGATGATGGTAAAATAGTATCCAAGCTAAGGAAGGCATCAAATGTTAAGACATGGAGGTGAGAAAAATAATGCTGGGAGGCACTGCTTTAGTTCAGGCTAGCTAGAAACCAGGTAGAGATAAGCAACAAGAGGGGTAACAGCAGGGGAAGGCCAAATGAACAGGTGTTCTATGGCATGTGAAAGAGTAGATATTATCCTAGACCTGTACTAAGAAGACTAAAGGATTGAACAGCAAAATCACACAATCAGATCTGCACTTTAGAGGTACACGAGGCTATTCATTAGTGTCTGCTGGGACTTTGGAAGAGCAAAGGACAGATGGGAGAGAGGTAAGAATTTCAACAATAAGGCTGGGCGTGGTGGCTCACGCCTATAATCCCAGCACTTTGGGAGGCTGAGGTGAGAGGATTGCCTGAGCCCACGGGTTCGAGACCAGTCCGGGCAATTTGATGAGACCTCATCTCTACCACAAATCAAAAAATTAGCTGGATGTGGTGGCGCATGCCTGTAGTTCCAGCTACTTGGAAGGCTAAGGCAGAAGGATCACCTGAACCCAGCAGGTTGAGACTGGAGTATGTGTGTGCATGCCACTGCACTCCAGCCTGGGTGACAGAGTGAGACTCCAACTTAAAAAAAAAAAAAAAAGAATTCCAACAATAAGCCAGTTATAGAAGAAGACTGTGGTCATCTGAGAAAGGAACTAAGGGGAACAGGGTGAGTGGGGATGGTAGGAATTGCAAGGAGATAACATTCAAGAGGTATGTGTAGTATTATGTTACAGATAATTGACATCATGAAATGAACTCCAAAGTAGAGACAGAGGAGAGGTTTACCTTAAGGAGATCAAAACTGGAATCTACAGAATAATCTACAAAAGATCTAGCAAAATAAAATCAGTTTGGTAGATTTGAGATGATAGCCAGGGAAGACAACAACATGTGGGCTGTGACTCCTTCCTGATTTTCCATTTCTGAAGATTTTAGGCACATACGAGAGCTATGATATTTTTGCAAGGTGTGTCTGCTGAGGCTGGTGTAGGAGAGGAGCCAGTCATAATCCTGAATGCTAAAATCCCAAAAGTTCAAAATTCCCAAAATATAATTCTGGAATATATAATGAAAAAAAAATTGAAGATATTTATTTACAATTTAAAAGAGGATTTACTTGAAACACATATAAAAACAGAACACTTCATAAGCCACTTTGCACAATAAATAATAGGCAATATTAACATATTTTCGCAAGCATAATGACTATAACAATTATAGTCATATGGTTGTAATGATGAGCAGGCAAACTGTATTTAAAACGCTATGATAAACAACCTAAGTCTTTTGGTGAGACTGATGAAAAACTGGTGGGTCCCCAAGATCTTGAGAAATTTTAACAAATGGACATCTTTTTATTTATTCAGGTAGTTTCAACATTTTTGTTTTTTGTTTTGAGTTGGAGTCTCACTCTGTTGTCCAGGCTGGAGTGCAGTGGCATGCTCCCGGCTACCGCAGCCTCGACCTGCTGGGCTCCAGCGATCCTTCTGCCTCAACCTTCTAAGGAGCGGGAACTACAGGTGCGCGCTACCACACCCGGCTAATTTTTTTGATTTATTGTAGAGATAAGGTCTCACCAAGTTGCCCAGGCGGGTCTCGAACCCGTGGGCTCAGGCAATACACTCACCTCGGCCTCCCAAAGTGCGGGATTACAGCCTGAGCCACCGTAGTTTCAACATTTTTACATACACGCACAATGCTACAAAGTTAACGTGATAAGGCACTTTTATAGAGTCAAATTTGCAAAAAACATAAAATAAATTAGAACTCTAACACTGTACATAATTTATGCCTCCAATAATGGAAATGATGTGAAGCTCAAACACACAGCAAAGTGAATCGTAAAAATTAATGCTGACAGTTAAAATAGTGCAAACAAATTTAAAAAAGAAAAGAAAAACAATTAAAACACTAAAAGAACATCAACATATGAAAAAGTGTATTACAGGGACACATGATAAGGCAATTGCACAGAGACAGTCCATAAGAGCTGACTGACTTAAACGATCAGAAACTGTATTGTGAAGGCTTATATCATGATCGATAGCTGCTTTTATTTTCTTTCGGGGTCATGGCTCTCCTTGGAGAATACGTTCACATCATTTTCTATATGGTGTTGCTCTTTGTGAAATTCTTCTATGATTCTTGTGATTGTGATTTTTAGGGACTTCAACATTCAGGATTATGGCATTCAGGATGGTAATTTTTGGGATTATGATCCAAACCCATTTAGGACAAGACGGTCCTGGTCTAGGTCCTCTGTCTTTGTCACCCCTTTGTCTTGACAAAGAAAGTCAGCAGTCTGGTTTATTGAGCTTACAATCAAACCTCAAAACCACAACACTAGAATACTTGCCTTTCCCAGAGTTCCATCACATTCTCTGTGCCTTATATATGGTATTTTTCAATCCCACCTGTCCCACCTCCAAAGAGCTCTTCCATTTCTTGTCTACTTGGGAAACTCCTACTCACTTCCAATCCTTCTAATCTCTGGCAGATATCCAAGCTTCTCTCCAAGGAGACTGGAGAAGTCTATTTCTTCCTTCAGAGCTTCCAATTGCAACTTGTATCTACCTCCTTTATAAGCTTTAATATATTGTATTGTAATCATTATCCGCGATACTGTTTCCCCACCAAAAGGTGAGTGCCTCCAGGGTGGGCCTGTGAGGGGTTCACTGTGTCTCCCAGGGTCTAATTCCGTGCCTGGCATCATTAAGTGTTCAACTAGTACTGCCTGAAGAACTGAAGAGTGGAGAGTGGAAGAAGTCAGCTGAGGTTTCCTTTGAGACTACTTACAGACAAGAGGTTTGCACAGAGACTTCCTCAAAGACTCCTAGTTCTGGACTAACTCCTTAAAATGAACCTCCAAAGCTATCTGGCTATGTTCAGAAGTGGGCATCTTTCCTCTTAAAGCTTAATCCTGAGCTCATTACTTTTCAAATGTTTTCTGTCACCTGGGGCTTTTGACAGAGATAAGACATGTTAGGAATAGATAGCTCCAGATCCACTTCTTAAATAAAGGCTATCCCTAGGAGATTCCCAGATATGTGAGAAAGGAAGAGGGTCAACATTTGTTAAGCATCTACTATATGCTGCAATAGATGTGTGAGGCAGACATCTATATTCCATGGTATAGATTTCTGCTACTCAAAGTGTGGCTGAGAAGCAGCATCAGCATTGCTTGAGGGTTGGTTAGAAATACACAATTTTAGGCCAGACCTACAGAGGCATAATCTGAATTTTAACAAGATCTCCAGGTGACTTGTCTGCAATATAAGCTTTCAGAAGCATTGTTATAGATGAGGAATCTGGGATCAATGAAGCTAAATAACATGCCAAAGGTTACACAGTTGCTGTGAGGTGGGATTTGAACTCACATCTGCATTTTCTAAAAGGCTGTGCTTTTCCCACTACACTGCTACTGAGACTCAAGCCAAGTTTATGGCTTAGAGAAACACATCTAATTTCATATGAAATATGTATTTTAAAAACTTTGATATAACATGACTCATTATTCCGAAAATTAAGGATAAGTTATAAAAAAATTTCATATCCCGCATTGCCAAATACATACCAAAAACTTGGTAATGGAGCTTTCCTGCCTTGTGACGCCAGAATTAAAAATTTTTCTATTTTATTTCTAAAAAACAGCTATAATTACTGGGTTGTTACCTTGGTGATTAAAAGTCATTTACCTTTTTGGTTTGCAGACATCTCCTCGTGAGACTGAAGCACAGTATCAACAACATGGACTTTGAGGGTCCTAGCAGATATTAATTTAAATTGTACAATTTGAGAAAGCATGTAACGTCTTTGAGACTGTTTCCTCAGTAGTAAAATAGGCTAAGGATACGCCACACAGAGTTGATGTTGGGGACAGTGACATCACATATATACTGGAACAGCAGATACTCAATACATGTGAGACAACATCACCCCTACCGACACCAACTGTAGCCTCAGATTGACTGACACATCATCAGAAAAAGCAGCCTGTTAACTAGGCTAGCATTGTTATTCCAGAAGTTTGCCAGCCAGCAGGCATACTTAACATAGACATGATTTATTAGTAATCAATACATTTAAGAAAGTTGTAGGCATTTCTTTAGTGATTATCAAAGTGATACGCTTAATTTATTTTATGGCAACCCTACAGCAAATAGAGACCAAAGTAACAATCATTTTTTTCTACTTTGGAGCCAGGGACAAGGAAAAAAAGTGTAATTTAGAAAAAAGTATAAGGAATGTAGAAGAGACTGGGGAAAAATACTGAATGTAACACACACCATACCACTACTGAGAGGATAGAGCCCAAAATGGAGTTTCTCTGGTCTTCTTGAACTCATACACAACAACAATCCTTTCTTGGAATCCTGGGCAAGTCACAAGACGTTGAGATTAATATCACCTAAAGAATTTGTCTTTCAGCTTTCAGACTTGCTGCTTCTCATCTATGTGGTTGGCCTGCCCATCCATCTGGTCCTCAGGGAGGTGAAAGACCCCATCACCATGGCAACAGTTACGTGACTAACCCACCCATCTGCCCGCCATGCATAAGCATGACATCAGTACCTGTGCTTACCTGTCCCTTCGTGATGATGTAGAACAGACTACCACCCAATCACCTTAATGACCTTTAAAAAGGACTCAACCTCAAGCAGTAACCGCCATGCTTTTGCAAAGCTCTGGTCTGGCCATGCTTCTCTTTAAACTTAGGCTCCCTTCCCCAATCTGGGGAGGTGAATCGCCTCTTTCTCTCTCTAGTCTACTTTCTAAATATACTACATTTTCCAATCTAATTTCTGTGCAATTCTTTGCATCTTACCTGCGGCACCAGTTCGGCACATCAGTCCCCTGACCTAATATTTCTTACCAGACCTAACAACTACCAGATCCTATGTGGGCATAATTTTATAGTATGCAAAGCACTTTCCCCATACGATATCTTATCCAGCTCTCACATACTGTGAAATATTGTCTCCATCTTAAAGGTGAGGAAACTGAGGTTGAGAAAGAGCAAATGACACTCAAGTCACAGAGCCTAAGCCCAATAATTAGGGCAAGTCTTGTGAGCCCAGCCCAGGGCTCCTGTCTATGGGGCTACTCAGGGGGTTTTAATGTCCTACTCTCAGAAGAGAGATGCTCAGCCGCAGATAATCACCCCGTGACCAGTTCACAGCAAGGTTCTGCATCCTCATTCCCAGTGGGGACCTGCCCAGCCTAACACTAACATCCTTTAATCACCATCTGAGAGAAGGGCTGCCTCTGTTGAACCTGCTACCTGAAAATAACTTCTGTTTGGGGATCCTTTGTTGTTGAAAAAATGTTCAACATCTTTCCAACCTCCTTCTTATGCTAATTACAGCTCATCAGCATCTGGACACCCACAAGCAAAATCAATCTGGCTACAAAAGCAAGCCAAAGACATTTTCTTACCATAAAAAAAACACACAGACAAACAAGTAAGACTGAAAATGATTAAATACCCAGAGCACTTTCCCAGCAACCTGCAGGCTGCTGCATATAAAAATCATATTCAATATTACAAGAGTCCAGGAAGGTAGATGCTAACAAACATCTCACACATGTAATTGTATTCTTTATGAGCAGTGAAATGTACACAAGTTTATTTTCAGTTTACTCCCTTCCACATTATATCTTCTGTTAGATGCCAACATGTCTAACACATTCAAATATTCACACATTAAAAAAATACCACTTGAAAGGCATCTCCACTTCCTCTTCTTATGTAATAACCAAACGAACTTGGATGCATTAGCCTTCAGTCCACAACACTTTTCCTTACTACCTTGAAGTCCTAGCACATCAACAATACTTGGAAGAGCCAACATGACCTAGCCCAGCTTACCTCTCCAAACTGTTAGCACCTCCACAATCTAATCATTTAACCTTAAACTTATTCTGCCTTTGAAAAATATTGAGTCTAGCTTCCTAACTGTCTTAAAAGGCCCGTCCCTGCCAAAGATGCCCAAGATAGAGTGAACAAAAACAGTAGTTACAAAATAGCACACACATCATGACTCCAATTATACAAAATTAAACACACATACATATCCAACTCCTACTACTAACAAGGATGTTTGAATGACCATGATATTTTGGGTAATTAATTCTGGGATAATCTTTACTTTCCTTCCATCCTTTTCTACTATTTTTGAATTTTCTATATTAGTTAATTTCATTCAAATTCAGAAAAAGCAATAAATGTGTTTTTAACAAGCCTTCCCCCAAAGACCCACCATATCAAAAATCTTCTCTTGGCACAAGGAGAAAGTTAAAAAGCTGCTTACCAAGGGTTGTACTCAACGCTAGCTGAGCAACAGGATCTGGAGCTTTGGACAAATACAGGTACGTGGAGACCCAGTCCTCAGAATTGCTGGAGGTAGGGTCTAGGGTTGTGCACTTCTGTCAAAGCCCTTTGGGTTATACTGATCAGTCAGAGTTGAAAACTATAGATTGATGTCTCATTCTAAAGAGGGGTCAACAGAGGGATGACAACTGCCAGGTAACGAGACAGGGGGATGTTTAGGAACAGGACTGAAGGCTGAGCAGTGCTGGATATCAGGTGTGCAAGGTCATGAGCAGAGAGAACACAGTGGGCAGATGCATCCTAAGGTCTGCAGCCAAGAAGATGCGGACAATGTGAGCTAGGACAAGATGTAGTCTAAGAGATGGCGGCTATTTATGCAGTATTGGGGGCTGGACTACTGATAACCTATTCAGGTTAGGAAAAGACACCAAGCACTTCAAATCTGTCCCACTACAGGTGAGTAGCTCTGATTTATGATTTTTTAAAAAAACAGAAGAGCACTGCCTATGATTCCATTTCTGAAAACCACAGAAAAACTGTAGGTTCAATTCCCAGGAGGGCCATGTACTAGCTAAGTGACCTTCAGAAAATGACAAGTTATCTATGCCTCAGTGTTCTCACCTGTAAAGTGTGGGTGATAACACACAACTCACAGGGTTAATGTGAAGATTCGGTGAAATGAGAAAAGCCTATTACAGTACTAAGAACATAAAAGGTCCCCAAATGGTAACATTAGAAAGCACATCCCAGTAAAAGATTAAGTGCTGAATTTTAATAAATCAGGACCCACAGTTAATTACTGCCTACTTCCTAAGTTATTTCCCCATTTTGGCACCACTAAAAAATACTTGAGAAACAATTAAAGAAGGCCGGCTACAATCTACTGTTGCTTCTACATTGCTGGTATTTGTTTTATCTATGAAGGAGATATATAGCATTCTAAACTATTTCTATAACATTTAATCAAGACTATAAATGAAACTAACACAGTCATATTGACAAAATAGCAAAGGAATCACTGAAAAATTCTATTTCTAAAATAAAGAGCTAAGTTTCTACCTGGCAAGAAGAAAACTGCAAAAGAGAAACCAGGAGAGATAAATGTTTCTTCTTTATCCTTCCCACCCAAGCCCTCCATATTGAAAGTGAATTTGTGCTAAATTAGCCTAAAAAGTCAATCTAACAGAAATTAGTACTATACCTATTGAAAGGGTAAACCGCCAAAATGGAATAACTTTACTTAGCAGTTTATTTTAACCCACCTTCTAATCATTAACAAGGACCCAGAAGTAGTTACTGATAGTTGTCTTGCAAACTCCCAAGCATGCTTTGTACTAACTACCCTTTTATCAAAAGTATTTGTCTTCCTGCCATAAAGGGCCAAGCTGATCTATCTATTGTGACCTAGGTGACACAGACCACCACTCCACCTCCATGGCAACAGCTCCTGTGCTTACTTGCCCCACCAGAGGGAAGCTTTAAAAGCATTCAGTCTTAAGCATCGCTGCCACATTTCCTTCAGATGTCTGGCCCCTTCTCTCCCTTAAGAAGTGAATTCACTCTTTCCTAATCTACTTTCCAAATAAATGATCTTACCTACCTAATTTCTGTGCAATTCCTTGCAAACCCACAGCACTGGCTCACTGACCTAACACCTATGACCTGTAAAAATTCAGAAGAGTCCTTTTTTAGGAGTACATAATTAAAATAACCATCACAATGGCAACGAGTATTCATGTCTAATTAGGCTTATTAGGTGCCAGTACCATATTAAAACTGGCACTAGATTAACTCAGTCAAATCCTTGCAAAAGCTCTGCAGGGTTCTTCTAGGCTCCTGCTTCTCTAATCTCCTGCCCCATGGTCTACTCAACAAAGACTGGGACCTGACTGGTCTCAAAGGACATTCCTGTGACACTTAGTAAAAATACAGATACAACGACTTATGCAGACTGGTGGAATCAGAAACTCTGAGAATACATCCCTGAAAACTACATTTTCAACAAGATCCCAGATGATTCTGACGGGCAGCTAAGTTTAAGGCTCACCTAATCATCACACCCACAGTCTGTCCCCACAACTTTTATTTTATACATCCTGCTTTTTCCACTTGACATTTCTTCACCTGGCTACCTTCTACCAAAGGTTTGGCCCAGAAGGTCACGTTTCTAAGGAGGAGCTGCTTCTAGTGTCCACCTGTTCTCTCACTACCTGGGTTGGGCAAGGAGCCCCTCTTCTGTTCCCACAGTGCCTCATCCTTCCTTCTACTTTTACCTTGTAATGTAAATATAGATTTTGATGTCTGTCTCCCTAGCAGAGCTGTGAGCTCATTCACCTCACATTTTTTTACCTTGTAATATAAACGTAGGTTTCTATGTGTCCCTAGCAGGGCTGTGAGCCTGTTCACCTGCTACCTACAACATCAAACCTGATGCAAAGCAGGAACTAGTAGGAATGGCTGAAGCCTCATTGACCTGTCTTTGGAGCATCTATCCACAGAAATAGACCCCCTGTGAGGGCAGTCTAGAATAGGTGCTTCACATGAAAACAGAAGTCCAGAACTTAAAGAACTGATGAATCTTAAAGGGCTAGTAAAATTAATAGCACAACTGAGGGTCCAGGTTAACAGACCATCATAAACCATGGCTGTCCCATCTCCCTGATACTTCTTGGATTGACCCAGCCTGCCCACATATAAAGTCCTGGTTCATAGCTGGGCTTCACACCCACAGAAGCCAAGGTGTTTGCATCCTGCACATAAACATGAAAAGTATGAGGGGTAGGGATGACTACTTTTTCTTTTCCAGTTGGAATCTCACTCTGTCGCCCAGACTGGAGTGCAGAGGCCACTCCCGGCCACCGCAGCCTCAACCTGCTGGGCTCCGGCGATCCTTCCGCCTCAACCTTCCAAGTAGCCGGAATTACAGGCATGCGCTATCATGCCCAGCTGATTTTTTAAAAAATTTATTTATTGTAGAGATGAGGTCTCGCTGCCCAGGCGGGTCTCAAACCTGCAGGCTCAGGCAATCCACTCACCTCAGCCTCCCAAAGGCGCGGGATTACAGGCTGAGCCACCGAGCCCGGCTAGGGATGACTACTTTTGAAAGGAGGCGAGTGTGCAGTAATTATATTATATATGTACTATATATTGAATGTCGACCTGCTATAGAGACAATGCTGGATAGTCATGATACTTATTCTTCACAAAATACTCTGAGATCAGTTTTATCAGGTCCATTAGACTGAAGAGGAATTCAAAGTCCAGAGAGAAGAACTAACTTGCTTGAGGCCATCAGCTAGTTTGTGGGTAGAGCTGAGATTTGAAACTAGGCCTGTCTGCCTATGAAAACAATCCTTCCATGACTCTGTACTGCCTCTGGATTACTAACCAGAAGATTATTGAAGCTATCTTAGTGTTGGAAGAAGTTTTAGAAGTAGAACTAGGCTCAAATTCTGCTGTCACCAATTTGCTAAAAGGTATTTGATAATTGACAAACCCTCTAAGACTCAAACTGCAAAAATAAGATAGAAATGCCTAATTCATAAAGGCATTTATGTGCACCTGAAAGCTCTGAGTATGCTGGTTGATGCCCAATAAAATGTGAGCTGGCCGTTAGCTAGTTTTCCCCATTTCCTCAGATGAGTTGTTTCCAAGATGGTAAATTCATCCTGTCTCACTGTCTTCCTCAATGGCAAACAACTATGCTGTACTCTACTTGGGAAAGACCTGAGGGTAAATCCTTAATATCACTTGAACCAGTTAACAAACCCGATGTGGAACACTCAAAATCACCTTCGCAGGATGATAAGAGGAACCCCAAATCCAAACACACTTTATTTCACCATCCCTACATTTTGTCAT